TGTCTAATCTTCCTCCACCTGCTGAGAAACTCGAGGCTTCATCATGTATGCCTCATCGAATGTGACATCTCTGCTAATGATCATCTTCTTGTCTTGTGGATCCTATAATTTGAAGTCTTTTACACCTTCTCTAAATCCCACAAAGATAGCCTTCCTCGCTCTCGGATTCAACTTCTCATCGCTAACATGGAAATAAGCTGGACACCCAAATATCCGAAGAGTATCATAATCACTAGCCACAGAACTAGACCAGCGCTCCATAGGAGTCTTCCTCTCTATCGCAGTACACGGCAACCTGTTAATGAGATGGCTCGCATAAACTAACGCCTCGGCCCAAAAAGATCTAGCCAATCCACTCTGCGTCATCATACATCGCACCTTCTCCAGCAAGGTACGGTTTAGCCTCTTTGCCACCCCATTTTGTTACGGTGTCTCTCTAACTGTGAAGTGTCTTCTAATGCCGTGATCCCGGCAAAACTGCAGAAATGGATCACTCTTATACTCTCCACCATTGTCTGAACGAAGAGTCTTCACCTTTCTACCTGCCTGTAGCTCCACTTTCTTCTTCCACTCCACAAATATATCCAGGACCTCATGTTTATGCTTCATGGTATATACCCAATTCCTCCTGGAATAATCATCAATGAAAGTGACAAAATAATTTGCCCCACCAAGCGATGTGTGCTTGGAAGGGCCCCAAACATCTGTGTGAATGTAGTCTAATATACCTTGGGTGTTATGAATTGCGGTGCCAAACTTCACCTTAGTCTTCTTCCCAAGAATGCAATGCTCATACAGCTCCATCTTGCAGGTCTTTGCACCTTTCAGTAGCCCCTGTTTTGCTAATGACTGTAGGGACTTTTCACCTGTGTGTCCAAGCCTCATGTGTCATAGTGTGGTAGTGTCCTCCTCTGTAGTAATAGAAGCTGCCAGACCCCCTGTAACTATCTTGCCCTTCAAGTAGTATAGGTTGTTTTCCCTGACACCTCGCATCACCACCATCGAACCCTTCATGACCTTCAAACTAGCATCTTCTAAGATCACTCTATAACCGGATGCCTCCAAAGTCCCAAGAGAAATGAGGTTCTTCGTCAACTGCGGCACGAACCTTACATCTTTCAATTCCCTAGTCACCCCGTCATGCATTCTGATTCTGACTGAGCCAATCCAACTAATAGGACAAACGTGATCGTTCCCCATGAGCACCACGTCTCCTCTCTTCAACTCCTCAAAGTTGGTAAACCAATCCCTCTTAGGGAAAATGTGAAATGTAGCTCCCGAATCAAGCATCCACTCCGTAGAGTCGGCATAACAAACTGACGGCAGTGCGGGACAAGAATAACCGGAAGAATCTGAATCTGAAATGTCGCCAACAACCTTGGCAGCATTCACCTCTGAAGCTTGTACAGCTTTCCCCCTTTGCTTCCCGACTCTATCCTTCAACTTTGGGCACTCATTCTTCCAATGTCCATCTTCTTTGCAAAAGGCACATTGATTTCTACCAACACTTTTATGGCCACCTCTATTCTTTGATTTTGAGCGGTTGAACTTTTGGCGGTTTGGACTACGGCCACGAACTGCAAGTGCATCACCCGATGCCTTCTCGGAGGGCTCACAATCATTCTTCCTCAGCTCATAATTCACCAATGCCGAGGTCACCTCCTTGTAGCTAACTGTAGTTCGTCCATTTATCATAGAGAGAACAAAAGTACTAAATTCATCATCTGGCAACGAACACAATAATAACATCGCCTTGTCTTCATCCTCCACCATGATATCAACATTGGTCATATCCGAAATCAGCTTTGTGAAGTTGTTAACATGCTCTCAAATGGAAACTCCTCTCTTCATCTTGAATCGGTAGAACCTTTTCTTCAAATGAAGCCTATTCTCAATGCTCTTTGTCAAATATTTTTCATTGAGTGTTTCCCACAATCTCTTTGCCGATGTCTCATTCATCACATCATAAATGAGATCCGACGTCAAGCATGACCGAATCACCCCACAAGCCCTACTATGCATTTTCTTCCAAACCCTATCATCAATCTCCTCGGGTTTCTCTTGAAACTCAAGAGTCTCCTCTAAATTTTGTGCATCTAAGGCGTCCATTACTTGACACCTCCATAAACCGAAGTTAATCTTGCCCTCGAACTTTGGGACATCAATTTTAGTGTTATTGATGCTCAAATTTTGGATCGCCTTTGTCAAAGCCGACCCCGATGTACTAGTAGCACTTGAACTAGCCCTACTTGTATCACCCATATTGTAGATCTACTCTTCAAACGAGAACCCAACAGTGAATCCTTCGAAAAAAACTCTCAAATCCAACCTGGATCTCTGATACCACTTGTTGTGCGCCGCGGAAGCCCCAATTAGCCAAATCAAAAGCACACACAAGAATAATAGTAGACCACAAGTGAACACAAGCCAACCAATCACAGCAAGTACACAATATATACGTGGTTCGGCAATATGCCTACGTCCACGGGGCAAGGAGGGGGAAGCTTTACTAATGAAATCAAAGGGGAATACAAATTAGGGTTACAAATCTTACCCAAAACCCTCAAACAAGACCACTTGATCTCTCCAATAGACTCCAACAATAGAAGCCCTCAAAATCCCCTTTCAGCAGCTCAAAATCGCCCAAGCTTAACCCTAGAAACGAGTTTAGGGTTTAAATACAACTCACAAACGAAACGGGTCTGGAAACAGAACCTAACTGAAACCCGCAGCGGCGGTCGACCGGCGCCGGCGGCCTCGACCGCCACCAATGCTGAAGCTCAGTGAACAATGTGCACGAATGCGGTCGACCGGGCCGGTCGACCGCCACCCAGTTTGCCTGAATCTCAACCTGTCAACCTCTGCTGCTAGTTCCACAGAATCTCTCCTGAGTACATTCCACATGAGAATTTACAAGGACAACTGGCCATGATGTACAATGATCTCCCTTACCAGGTCTAACTTCAGGTGAACAGTAATTACATGAAAGATGGTTTTTCTGCTTTATTTGTCACAACTGCAAGTTTCATAATATGACCACCAACGGTCAATTAAATTCATTTCTAAACTATCGACCTTTATCGACAATTACAACGCAACTATTCTTGCCTAAATTCGTAAAATAAATCTGGTGTATTTGTTTTCTATTTTTCACCATCTGAATCCACAATTATTTGATTTTATCAACAAAAAAAATCAACAGTTTTTATGCTAAACTCTATGTGCTTTTTAAAGTTTGATTTTAAAAAACTTAAACAAACATGACCGTTTTGTGAACTCTTATGCGTGTGTGTGTGTATCTTTATTTATTTTTTTAATTTTTTAATTTTTTTTAATTTTTTTTGCTGATAACTGCTAACAGACTTGATGATTTGGATTAGCTTTATATGTTGTGGCCATGACCTAGACCCTAAATTAACAGACATGAGTTTTTAAGGATATAAAGGCTCTAAGATTTTTATAGACTTTGCTGATAAATTTAGATTTTAGCGGTAAATAAATTTGATATCCTTATCATCTTCATCTGCCTTTCCAAATGACTTGTGTTGGAACAATCTGAATCATTTATCTTTTTTGAAGCCAATCATTTACCTCTGAAATGGCTTTAGTTGCAACAATTAGCTCAAGAAGCATGTTACCTAAAGTTAAGAGAACATAAGTGTACCATCAGCAGATTGCGAGTCTCAGTTGCTTAATTCGGTTGGCAAACATTATATACTATTGTGTTTAAGAACAGAATTTTGATGCTGTAATGAGAGATGCGACAATCCTAGCCAATGTATGTTACCCGGATACTTCTATTACCCGGATACTTCTATTAGGAAGCGGTATCCATATATGTGTCTGCACCCAAACCTTCTGGACGCTTCTTGAATATATGCATTTGTTTATTCAGGTGTATACTCAATTATATATAATTTAAAACACTTATCGTACAGTTGATAGATGTATATTATACACTTCACATCTACTTCTTATATATTGATCTTATGTAAATAAAAAAACAATATTGTTTGATAAATAATAAATAATCAATATTGATCTTATGTAAATTATTAATTTTAGTACATATAAATTTATACAATATGCATATATATAGTTGTGTCACAATATCCTACTTTTTACAAATTTGTCATGTCTAGTGCATGTACCTGTGCAACCTAGTAACCAACGAGTACAGTAATGGATGGATTCTGGAAGCCGTTGACTACTGATATACTGCTCGCTAACGTTGTTACATCCTGAGTGAATTTTTAAATTATTGAACTTGTGTAGTATAGACTAACAATTTAATAATTCCTGTAATCCAACCTTCCTTCTATCTCAAACAGATTTGTCTGGATAGACCCCTTGTATTATTGCTCCCTTGTATTATTGCTCAGGTGTGTGGATAGAACGCCTGAGTGAATTCTTCTTGACTCTTGAAAGTAATAAAATAAATAAAAAATAAAAAAATACTCACTCAGATCATCTATCAGCACAAATAAAATTACTTGTAGACTATCCACAATTGAGCTATAGCACAACTACTTGGCGTCTATCCGCAATTGGCCTATAATACAAAGGGTCCATTTGCAATTAACCCCTGAAAAAACAATGAATAGATCTAGGCGAAAAGAATCCAGCAAAAGCATAATGAAAAGCATAATTTTCAGATAGTCTACTGTGCGGTTTTGTATTTTCAGATAATTTTCTGTACGGTTTCGTATTAATTCAAGCCTGTTGCACACTTTTCTTCATTTATGAGCGCAGAAACTTCGATGACTAGGCCACATACTTTTAACTTCTAACAAAGCTGAGACAACGCACAAGATGCTAGAGCCATCACCAATTGAGTCCCATCAATAAACCAACAAGTGTAACAAATCTTTGAACAATTGGTACAGAGAGAAGGAGAAAAAAAAACGTGAGCAACCATTTGAGCAATTTGAAAAGAACTAGCTAATCTTACATGAAAAAAAAAAAAAAGAACGTCGCACAACAGATGACACCAATATCAGATGAGGAAAGGAGAATTTGTTCCAAATAGACTAAACAACCACATATTAATACAATAACTATTTGGAAAAGAATGAAGCTCCATAGAAAACCAGCTGCATAATATATACAATAAATTTTCACCATCCATATAAAATATACAGGAGCATGACCTCAGCCCTCTTAATCAACTTACGTCTAAAAAGAATAATTAAACTTCATAAACTTACTTTTTGCTAGCAAAATACAGTAACATCAAGTGACACAGTAGTTGTGTCTAATTCAGTAGGAGCTCACACGAACCATGAACTTCCTTGCTTAAATATGTAATTCAATCTGATGATGAGTTCACGCAAGAATTACTCTCCGCTTATCATGAGAGATTGATGAGGTACCCTCTTTATATCAATGATAGTTGAGTACTCATTAATTGCCTGTTTCCATGGCTCGCCATCCATTTGCATATAAGCCTTTTTCCACCGCCCACCTCTGATCTCCAACCTAATTGCAGCCGCCTGAGAAAGAGACATCAGAAGCCAAAATATGGAACATGAGTAAAGTTAGATCATGTCAAGGGCTAATGTTAGGCGAAACTTAATAGCCCAAAACAACTTCCAACCGATAAAAACTACTACCATCATAGAACTTATGCCAACATGTACATACTAAACATATTCACATGCATATTAATGTTGTTTATTTGTTAGAAAAGGAAGCTATTAGATTTTTACAACTGACAACTAAAAAGGATTAGTGTTTTTATGTTATAGGACAGTAAATATTAGAACTCTAGTAATCCAGGCTGTTTCCATATCAGGTCTGAGCTCAAATTAAACCCAACTATTTCTTAAATCATAATTTGAATTGACATAGACAAGCTCAGTTATCTCTTGAAAACCTCACCCGCCTAACCAAAATCTTTGTACAATTCATTAGATCCTAAAGTCAATCACACATGCAGCATCCATAATTCAATCTACTTGAGATCACAAACTACTAGGAAGAGTAATATTTTATAAAACAAAAGGGTCATGCACATCATAATTACAGCAAAAAAAATCAACAGAGTATTGAAAAGGATATGGCAGACACTGAGAAACATATCCTGTTAGATAAGACGGTATAAAATAAAACATTTTATTATTGTTAGGGACTGTTCAAACTATCAATAGGAATATGCTGATCCCATCAAACTCCTGAATCCCTGACAACACAGTCTAAAATCCATGAAGGTATTAGGATCCAGACCGACACTAAGATAATTGATGTACCTACATAAAGATAATTGTCTTACCTGAGCAATGTGCTTGGCATCAATGAGTTCAACCATAACAAATGAGGCATGCCACCCATGCTTCAGACCAAAAATTTCAAGCAGACCATCATCGGCATGGGCCTCAACAAAGCCTCTCTGAGAAAAAAGAAAGAAGAAGTGACTATACACAACCCAAAAGAGGTAAAAAGAAAATAATTATATCAAAAACTAAAGCAGATATTGATGAAACTGGTCACACATTAAGATATAATGCGCATTGATGGCCGAAACTCTGCCATCACTAAACGTCATTAATATAAAAAAGAAGGGACAAAGAAAAGAAAACAATACTTCTAATATTAGTCATAGTTTGGCTAGATTTCTTTTTTGTTTATTATCTTCCACCATAAATTCAAATAAACTTTGAAGGTACGTGGGTAAGAAACATTAAGGAAATAATCATATAAACAGGTATCAGTTAAAAAGAGAAGGAACAAAAAGATATGTACACACCTTTTCAAGATATTCAGGCTTGGGATGACCCCATGGATTCCTCCCACTACCATAGTTGTGAAGATTTAATGCTACTATTGACCTAACACTGCAAAGAAAAATAATGAAGAAACATTTTAACAATCATGTTATGAGAGAGAGAGAATAGCTCTAGGAATGATGCATTACTCAGAAGTTAGAACACCTGATATCCCAAAACAAAAAAAACAAAAAAACAAAAAAAAAATGAAGGAGAAGAAGTTAGTAACACCTTACATAGCTAGCAATTTTAAAATGTTAGAATACAAAATTATATCCTTCAAAACCCTCACCACAACTTCGGATTTTTGGTGCAGGGGCAAGGTCTTTAACATGGTAACATAGCAACCTGAGTCCCATTGACAAAGGAATTAATACTGATTTTTAAAAAAAGAAGGTTTATTTACATATATATATATTTACCCATTAAATCATGGGTATTTGCAAAAACACCCTCCAAATCTCATTATTTGCAAAACTACCCTTAATCATCAATTTTGAAAAAAAAATTACCCTCAAAACAATTAATCAACTTTGATAAGCTAATTTGTAATCGCAATGTAAAAATTATCAACAAAATAGTCAATTTTTTAGCACCAATTTGATGCTTTGTTAATTTTAGGAGTATTTTTTCATACAGCTGATGATTTGAGGGTTAGTTTTTGCAAATACTAAGATTTGGAGGGTATTTTTGCAAATACCCATGATTTAAGGGGTATATATACAAATAACTCAATAAATGATGTTACTGCATGAGTCTTTTTTTTTACCATGAAAGAGCCTTCAACACGTAGGGTATTTTAGAATACAAAATTATACCCCTCAACCATCAGCACAACTTTGGAGTTTTGGTGCAGCCGATGGGGTCTTTAAGAATGATGGCGGAAAGATGTAAAATACTAACCCAATTAAAAACATAACTTGTGATCTTCACAAGACCGATCATCAAACCACCATAATCATCAAACTCAATCCCATAACTCCAAATTTGGAGGGTTTTGCAGAAGGATGATTGGCAACTCTTAACCTTGTGTCAACCCTCAGAATGGTGGTGAAGTACCACAGAATGGCTGTTAGTAGGTACTAATACTAAATCCTTTTTGCTCATCATGCAATCAAGGAAGAATTCTTACAAATTCTTCTACCTATTAGTTTGTAGATGAAAGAAAAGGTGATAAGTTTTAGTAGTGTCATCTCTAAGGCATGGCAAAAAGCAAATAAAATTGAAAAATATTCCACCATAAAAAAATTTAAGGAATTTTTGTACATACTCTGAAGGGATTGGGATTTGCTCCCATTCTGAACAATTGACCTTTTTGATATGAAGTCGCAGAATATTTTTGAGTCCCCTGCATCAAAGTTCTAGAAATCAAATTTGAACAAACTAATGCACCGGCTAGCAGTCAGAAGTACAATTTCTTTTCACAAGCAATAGGACTGGCATGGAAAGGAAACAGAAGATATGATAAAATAAAAAGGATAATGATGTTCTAGTACAGATAAAAACAAGTACAAAATACCAGAAAACAAATACATTTTAGAAGATGTAACAGAGTATCTCCTGTAATTACCAGAATTGTAAAAGAAAACAGCAAATCATTGGACATTTCACGTTCCACAGAATGTCCTGAGTTGGCTGACATACATGGATCTAGTTGTATAAGAGTGAAACCTTTAGCCATTCCCAACTTTCTCCCAATCTTAATGACAGATAGGACATTAAGTCTATCATTGACAAGAAAGAGAAACTTTCTGGAGGAAAAATTTGGGAACCAACATCCTTATATTTGGAGATTTTTCCATTGCTCTACCAGCTACCGCCGCTGCTGCTTGTACTTCTACCGCTCTCTTCTTCTTTTATTGCATACCAGAGTAATTATAGCAGATATTCATTAGTTTAACTTTTTCCCTGATTTTCAATTATTTCCATAATTCTCTCCTTTTGATTGTTGGCCCTTTTCTCCACTTATTAGTTGTTTTCAAAAGGAATAATGCTTAAGTGGATAGGTCCTAAGCAGCAGGTCCCATAGTAGGTCCACCTAACATCTTTTAACACCGTTGAAGACATTGTTTTAGCAATCATGTATAAACAGAACGCAAGAAATTGCAAATACAGTGCCTAATGACAACCATCAAAAACCTGCCCTTATTATGGAATAAGGAGAGAAAACTTTGAACTTCTAGCAAGCCAATAAACAGCTTATCCGGGAGGGGGCGACTAACTCAAACCTGGGACTACCCTCGGGCAAGGTGTACAGAACCATCCTTGAGTGCAGCTATAAGAAGAATAAATCAACTGGCACAAGAAAAACTCGAATCAAGTCTCCATATGCTAAACAACAATAATAATGTTCCAAAAGCATTTGAAATCTAATAAAATCTGAGAAACATAAGCTAGAGAAGATAAAATTTGCGGATACAATCTCTTAAATATATTAAAATAAGGGAAAAATGTGTCCAGGCCCCAAAAGTAGAAAGTTCATGTGACCCGCCCCCTTGTATTCTGACACATGTGTATAAGCCCCAAATACACACTATATTTGTGTTAAGGCCCCCAAAATATCGGACCCTGAGAAAAGCCCAACAAAAGTTATAAATTTACCCTTTGATTTGATTGAGCTTGGTAACTGCGCCCATCCCTTTAACCTCATCCCATCTCTCTCTCTCTCTCTTCTCTCTCTCTCTCTCTCTCTCTCTCTCAACTTCTCCTTCTCTCTCACTTCCGTCATGGCCACTGAAAATAATCAGACCCTGGGGAGGTCGTGGAAGGCGAAGGCGAGGACGGTGGTCATGGAGTCGGAGGTCGGGAAGTCATCTTGGAAACAGCTCGTGAACGCGGGTTCAACGACAAACACGGAACATGGTCCAGTGGGACCGCGAGCTGACGGAGCCCAGAACTTTGGTCTGATGCATCGTTGTTCTCCCCTTTCTAAGTTACGGAATATCTTTACCCAAATCAATGTCTTAATCAAGATAGTGCTCTTGTTTTCTTGTAATTTATGAAGGGAATCGATATTGGGTTTTTGTAGTTTTTCTCTTTCATTTAATTGAAATGGGATCTCCTTGGATTCTTGAACAGCGGTTTGGGTTTTCCTTTAATGTTTTTTTCTTGTGTGATTTGGTAATTGACAGTTCTATATAAGAGATTAACAGCAGAAATTTTCAAAAGCTCACATTGAATCTTCAGGCATATCGACATTTAGCTAAAAATTAAAGACAATGTGATTAAAAGTCGACTAAAGAATCTAAGAACCTATGAATTTGAAAGGGAGGACAAGGAAAATTAGAACTATGAATGTTAGTTCTAAGGGCTGTCATGTTAGTTCTAAAGGCTAAAATGTTAGTTCTAATGGCTGAACTGTTAGTTCTAAAGGCTGGACTGTTAGTTCTGAGGACTGGACTGTTAGTTCTACCAGCTTTCATGTTAGTTCTGTCATCTCTTACGTTAGTTCTACCCGTTTTCATGGTAGTTTTGTTATCTCCTACGTTAGTTCTGTTCGCTGCCATGTTAGTTCTGTTCGTTCTACATTCTTTATGAGAACATTATAAACAACAATATCAGGATGAACACCATTGTTAAGCATCATTTTATAAAGTTTAAACCCAACAATTAGATTGCCATGCTTGCACAAGCAATCGATCAAACTACAGTATGCTACGGCATCTGGCATAAATCCCCTCTTTAGTATTTGAAAGAAAATTATTGCTGCTTCCTTCAACATTCCTTGCACAGCCATTCCCTTGAGAAGGATGGTGAAAGTAACTACATCAGGTATGAGCTTGTGTACTCCCAATTGTCTATAGATTTTATGTTGGTGAAAATAAGTACATGAATTAGAACTCGAACTAACATGAAGTGAGTTACAATCAACATAAAATGAGTTAGAACTAACAAAGAGCACAAGAGCCTAAAACTAACATGAATTAGAATTAGAACAAACATGTAGTGGGTTAGAACTAGCATGAATTAGAACTAGAACTAATATGCAGTGGGTTAGACAAAGAACGAGTTAGAACTAACATGAATTAGAACTAGAACTAACATGAAGTAAGTTAGAACTAACAAAGAGCAAGTTAGAACTAACAAAGAGCAAGTTAGAACTAACATTAAGTGAGTTAGAACTAACAAAGAACAAGTTAGAACTAACAAAGAGCAAATTAGAACTAACATGAAGTGAGTTAGAACTAACAAAGAATAAGTTAGAACTAACTTTAAGTGAGTTAGAACTAACAAAGAGCAAGTTAGAACCAACATAAAATTAGTTAGAACTAACAAGAGCCCAAGAGCCCCAAGGCCCAAGGCCCAATCAAAGACTTTTAAATATATATTGTAGGTGTAGGGGTTTGAACTCTTGACCTCCTCTCCAAATTACCAAGCTTTACCACTAGACCAAGTAGTCAAAGTATTAATGTTAGTTCCACTTAAAGTTAGCTCTTACTTGTCATTAGAACCAACATAAAATTAGTTAGAACTAATAAAGAGCCCCAAGGTCCAAGGCCCAATCAAAGACTTTTAAATATATATTGTATGTGTAGGGGTTTGAACTCTTGACCTCCTCTCCAAATTACCAAGCTTTACCACTAGACCAAGTAGCCAAAGTATTAATGTTAGTTCCACTTTTAAAGTTAGCTCTTACTTGCCATTAGAACTAAAATGAAATAAGTTAGAACTAACTTAAAATAAGTTAGAACTAACATGAGTTAGCTCATGATAGAATTTAAAAAATGACATAAATAACTAGAGTTAGCTCATGTTTGTTCTATCGCAACTCGTTCTAATTTTTACCAGCTCATGTTAGTTCTAATTTTTACCAGCTCGTGTTAGTTCTAATTTATTTAATGTGTTAGTTCTAGCGTAAATGTTGGGTCTAAACGTCATGTTAGTTCCAATTTATGCCATGTTAGTTCTAGCTTCTCCAGTGCTAGTTCTAACAGATATCGTGTTAGTTCTATAAATAGAACTATAACGTGGTATAAATAGAACTAACTTGGTATAAATTAGAACTAACTTGTTATAAAATAGAACTAACTTTGTATAAATTAGAACTAATGTGGTTAGTTCTAATTTATTTGGTATCGTGTTAGTTCTAATTTATTTAATGCGTTAGTTCTAGCGTAAGTATTGGGTCTAAACGCGATGTTAGTTCTAATTTATGCCGTGTTAGTTCTACCTTCTCTAGTGTTAGTTCTAACAGATATCGTGTTAGTTGTAATTTATTTAAGTTGTTAGTTCTACATAATTGGTTGGTCTAAACGTCATGTTAGTTCTATTTAATGATGTGTTAGTTCTAGCTTCTCCAGTGTTAGTTCTAACTGGTATCGTGTTAGTTCTAATTTATTTAAGTCGTTAGTTCTAGCGTAATTGTTAGGTCTAAACGCCATGTTAGTTCTACTTGATGATGTGTTAGTTCTAGCTTCTCTAGTATCAATTCTAACAGGTATCGTGTCAGTTCTAACAGGAGCTCAACTAGAACTAATATAGACATTAGAACTAACGCTTATATTAGAACCAACACTAGCTGGAAGTAGAACTAACATGAAATCAGCTAGAACTAACACGAGAATCACCAGAATTAACATGAGCTCAACTAGAACTAACATAACCACTATAACATGGTATAAACATATTAGTTCTACTTAAAGTTAGCTCTAACATGAATTAAAACTAAGTTAGAACTAATATAAAATAAGGTTTACCACTAGACCAAATAGCCTAAAGTATTTATATTAGTTCTACTTAACATTAGCTCTAACATGAAATAGAACTAAGTTAGAACTAACATAAAATAAGTTAGAATTAACATTATATAACTTAGAACTAACATTAAATAACTTAGAACTAACATGAGTTATTGCTCATGATAGAGTTCAAAAAAGGGCGGGAAATTTTCCTCTATTTTTTTTCATCAGATCGCATTAATGGGCGTGATTTTCCATGTATTTTGTGGACCAGACGTTTGGGGAAGATAAGTGGAGGGGTAATTTCGAGTTTTTTTCAAAATACAATCTCTTTTTTTATACTGCTGACGTGGAGGGGCCTTGAAATATTAAATGGTACTTTTTAGGACTGAATTACATGGGCCAAAATACAAGGAAGCGGGTCACATGAACTTTCTCATTTTGGGGCATGGACACATTTTTCCCTTAAAATAATTCAAGCTAAGTAAAAGGTCCTTGAATAACTAGAAAAAAATGCAAACAACCTAAAGACAAAAATCAAAGATTAAATTGTAAGTGATAATAAAGGAATCTGCATGAAAAAGGCATGATCAATAGTTTGATGCTATGTAGCACGGACACGGATCCGACACGGCCATCCGACACGCCGACACGAGGCAAATCCTAAAAAATACATAGGATACGTGTGTTCGACACGTGTGTCCGACACGGACACGACACGGCTTCATGTTATGTGTGTCCGTGCTTCATAGGTTTGATGTAGTAAATTACCATAACATTATAGCCCACCCTGCACTAGATCTCTAAGTCATAGATACCAAAAAATCAGAGAATAACAAATGAAACAAGGCAATAACTTGGAAGAAGCCTAGCATAACCAACATAAAGAAAAGAGAAGCTCTAGCACAAAGGAGTATGAAGAAGAGATCAACAAACTAATCAACATCCGCTATGTTCTTTGATGAGATCAACAAACTAATCAACATCCACTATGTTCTTCCTCACAGCGTCACTAGACTGTTTATTTATCCAAAATGTTGTATGGAAAGTATAGGCCAATGAAACATAGACGAAAGGCACTGGTTCTAGAAAATTATCAAAAATAACTTTTATAGAGAAGCAAAAGTCCGTACAAGAAACTAAAACCATTTGAAGATTATAAAGAGTGTGTGTGTGTATGATGAATTGATAATACATATTTATATATTTTTGATAAAAGATAATACATATTTATATTTGTAGTAAGGAAACTGGAAAAAAGAAATTTTTATATGGACAACATATCAGAATCAATCAGATCCAAACCTTATTAGAAACTGGTCCTTGAGCGAGGTAAGGCTTTGTGTTACGCAGATGGTGGAAGCCATAAGCAACTTGAGCATCCATTCCTACAACATACTGCATTATTTATGTGTACCAACTAAAAGAAGACTCACAAGCAAAGAACTTTAGTTATGAAATAATATATATAAAAAAGTCCAATGGCTACAACAAACTAAGTTAAATTTTAATCAGGCAGTAGCTTCTTTAAAAAAATAGACAAAAGTTAATATATAAATATAATAAACACTTGCGTAATAGTTCAAAAAATAAGTTAAGCTTCATTTGTTATAATCCCAAATCCCTTGTCAACATAAACTAGTAACTTTTAACACTTTGCAACAACAAAGACACGGGGAAGTGCAACTTCAAACCAAGATAGACAACAATCAACCACTTTGCATTTAAAAGAGAAGACAACATGACTATTTCCTCCAGATGAGACTGGTTAAAAATGACTATTTGTTCATTAATGCCTCCCAAGGTTGTAAGTCAATGTACGCTAGAACTATATTAACTGGAATTACAGCTCAACTTAATGTTTTAGAAAGTACTAGACGTTTCAGGGCACCGAACATAGTGGCTAAAGCCCAGTGGTAGGTATGCACTTTTTAGTACCGAGAGAAGGACTTTGTTGAAAGATTCAAAACCTTATTCTAGCCATGTTATCTGAATAAACCTGGACCAATTTCTGATCCGTTTCATTCTAACCTAACTTGTTCTCTTCACCTGTTGTTATGCTCAAGAGGGCAATAAACCCTTTTTGAAGTGGTGAGTCCACGTAAGCGGCCTATATTCGCCAAGGCGCTGTCAAGAACTAAGCAGGCAGCCTAAATATGACTTCTCCATTTCACTAGCCTTTTTTAAGAAAAATGAATGATCTTAGTGCAATTAAACTCATAAGGTATCATTAGTCTCAACTAGCGCTAGAGGGCATGTATGAGTCATAGACTGCATCGACAGAGCATGTATCAAAGTAATTTGCAGTTTACTACAGCACCAACTCCTTACCATGACTCAGGAGAAACAGATGCATATAAAGAAATACATGAAACGGGAGACTTCGACAAAACCATTAAAATTAAAAATTATGCACAAGAACAATGTCAGAGCCTGCACATACCTATGCTAAAGTAATTGTAGAAGACCCCTTCAAAGCATAAAACCTTTTCAGGAACAGTACCTTCTGTCACCACGTCCTGCAAGAATATTGATACTTTTTTAAACAATAAAAAAATAGTTGTTACACATGTGATGCAAAGCAGTTAGTATTGCAATGTTATAGCATACACATTGTGATAATATTATGATTTGCCAAATACCTATTCAAAAAGAACACCCACCAATATTATTATCTCATTGTGAGCTAAGAACTAAAAGAAAAGTCCTATCTTACCTGGGTACTTCTATGAAGCCATATCCGTACCACACACATAACCGTACCACACACATAACCGTACCCTCACCCAAACTTCTTGGACACTCTTTGAATATATACATACATAAATTCGAGTGTGTATTCAATTATATAATACATGTTATAACTGAAAACACTCGTCATACACTTATTTGACGTATATCCTACACTACACATCTAGGTCTTGAAAACCATTGGGCATGGTTCAAATTCACTTCAACCCATACCCAATTAAGAACTATGATTTTAAAGTGTAGTTTGGTATATAGTTCAAAATCAAGTTGTTGTCCAATTTATAATCTATATAGATAGAAACGTAAAAAAATTTGAGCAATTTTAATTCCCATAACATTTGATGAATATTGATTTCCTGTGAAGTATTAATTTTAATGCATATAAATAAACATATACATACATATATACAGTTGTGTCCCCAGGCCCTAACTTTCACAAATTTGTCATGTACCGTACCAGTATCCGCACCCGTTTCTATGCAGATTAGAGAGAAAAAGATACACATATGACATATGTAACAATTTCCAAGATAAACCATCTAAACAGCAAATCAGTTAAAATAGATAATAGCATGAAAGCTAAAAAAAGATGAAAAGCAGTTGCTTTCAAGGGGGAGAGTTTAAATGACTGACATATATAGTGTTGACATATTAGGATAGTTGAGGGGATTATTTGTAAGATGTGTTCGTAGGGGGCTTATATAAGCCCATGTTATCTCATTAATAAGATTAGGGTTTCTATTCACAATTTGGTATCAGAGCAAAACCCTAGCTGCCAAAACCCCACCCCCCCCCTTCGCCTTCCCCCCCCCCCTTCGCGGATCCCCCACTGCAATCCTCCTTCCGCCTTCCCCCCACCACCACCTGCAGACCCCCCCTCCCCAACGAACCCCCTGCAGACCCCCCCACACCTGCCTCACAACCAGCCCCCCACGACCCCCTGCTCACAACACCACGCCCCCACCTACAGACCCCCTTCCGCCTCCCCCCCAACACCTGCAGACCCCCCAAATCGTACCCCCTGCAGCCCCTGTTCACAACCGTACCCCTGCCAGCCCCCCCCACCCCTGCAACCCCCCCCGACCTCCTGCCGATCACCAACCCCCTCCCAAGATCAGCCCACCCCCCCACGATCAGCCCCCCTCAGACCCCGACCCCCCCCTTTTTTTGCTACGCCATGTCGGACCTAGAGTTTGGCATGGATTCCCTCGACTCAGTCCTCGAACTGATGACAAGAAGAGTATATATCTCACATCGATGAGATATATAACTGTTTTTTGTTCTTGTTTTCTCTGAGAAACGAGAATTTGTTTGCGATCCTACTCTTGTTGTGCAGCAGAGGTGCTGCCGAAATTTTTACTGCACACAACAAGGGTCGGAAGAGTAGGTGACCAGGTGTTGGGTCTGCAGCCTGTTCGATGGAGGAGATTATCAAGAAGTCGAACCCTGCGAAGGTGTCAACTTTGATGAAGCTAATGAAGTTGTCAGCTGGTGAGAGCGCGACAAAACCATCGAAGAAGTTGGAGCTTCCGACAATCGATCTAAAGCTGGATGGACCTAGTACGTACCTGAGCTGGTCACGACGGGTGAGATACACCCTTGTAGGGGGGAACCTGGAGGGTTATCTGACAGGAGAGGCGACAGAGCCGGATGAGGACTCGGAAGGACGAGATGAGTGGAAGTCCACTCACATGTTGGTGTATATCTGGCTCCTCAACTCATTGGTCCAGTCGATCGCCGCCACAGTTGATGGCATTGAGAAGATGAAGGACGTCTGAGAGAAGTTGAGGAGGACCTATGATGGAGTAGGGAATAACCTGCGGGTGTTCCAGATTAAGGGAGAAATCGACGCCACAGTCCAGGGAGATCGGACTGTACAGGAGTATGCCACAGAGCTGGAGCGTCTGTGGCTAGATTATGATCACTTCTCACCTCGGGCGAACTGTAAGGACCCGGAATGTAAAGAGCGGGAGGCCTTCCTACAGGAGAGGACTATGGTCTTCCTCAAGGGATTGACATCAGAGTTCGCTCAGCGAATTGCATTGCTGCTCGCTCATCCGAAGATTCCCACGCTTGAGGAGGCTGTCTCTGTTATGATCCAGGAGGAGACTCGTATTAGGCTGCAGGCGGGGACAGGTGGACTTCCTGTGGTGAAGTCAGCACTGGCAGCCTCTAGCAACACTGGATCTAGGGGAGAGACTCGACAGTGCTACAACTGCAATGCGGTGGGTCATCTAAGGTATGCTTGCACCAAGCCACCCAAGGACGGAGATTCGGGTGGACGTGGACAGTTCGGAGGTCGTGGTCGTGGTCGTGACCGTGGGGGTCGACGAGGTGGAAGAGCAGGGAACCGGGCAAATCTGATGGTAGCAGAGGAAGAAGAAACTCAGATGGTCTTTACTGAGGAGGATCATGCTCTCCTGGCGATACTCAGGAGGAAGCAGCAAGTAGCAGGGGATGGAGACTTGAGGAGTGGGACTGAGGAGGCATCCACTTCGTTTTTCGCCAGAGGCAACACTGCTACCTATGCTCATCCGACCAAAGGTACTGATGACATACATGCTCTTGCTTCTATGTCTCTCGACAGATCATCAGAATGGATAGTCGACTCCGGTGCATCTCGACATGTGATAGGTAATGCTAGTGAGTTCTCATCATATACTCACTTAGCATCGCCTGATAGTATTCAAACAGCTGATGGTACATTTCAGCCGGTGGTTGGTAAGGGTACAGTCGATTGTACTGGTTCTGTAACTTTGTCCAATGTTTTACATGCTCCTTCCTTTCTAGTCAATCTTTTGTCCATTAGTTCTATCATCCTCCAACTAAAATGTATTGTTTCTTTTGATATTCCTAATGTGATTTTTCAGGAGAAGGGGACAGGGCGGAGACTTGGGACTGGCACATAACGTAATGGACTGTGGTATCTGGATCGTGAAGGACTGGATTCAGCATTGGTGTCAGTCGTAGAGGAAGCAGGAGTAGGATCTAAAATGAGTGTTGAGAGTGAGTTAATGCTTCATCACCAGCGTTTGGGACACTCATCCTTTAGTGTTTTAAGTAGATTGTATCCTTCTTTATTTGAGAAAGCAAATAAACAGGAACTTGTGTGTGATGCATGTGAGTTTGGAAAGCTTACTAGAAGCTCTTATGTTAGTTCTGGTCATAGAAGTTCTTCATGCATTTGACTTGGTACATTCAGATGTTTGGGGGCCTTGTTCCACAAGTTCTATGAATGGATACAAGTATTTTGTTACATTTATTGATTGTTTCTCTCGTGTTACTTGGTTATACCTGATGAAGAATAAGAGTGAAGTGTTTGGGTGCTTCCAAAACTTTCATAAGAATGTTCAGACTCAATACAGAGCAGTGGTGAAGGTATTGAGGTCGGATAATGGGACAGAATATACCAACAGAGCGTTTGAAGAATATTTGTCAGCTCAGGGAATACATCACCAGACAACCTGTCCATACACACCAGCTCAGAATGGGGTAGCGGAAAGGAAAAACAGACATCTTTTAGAGGTTGCTAGAAGCATGATGATCTCTATGAATATCCCAGAAACATTATGGGGGCAAGCAGTATTAACTGTAGCAGCGCTAATCAACAGAATGCCCTCGAGAGTGCTGGATTGGAAGTCTCCGTGTGAGACATTGAAGAGAGAGAATGGTGGGATTCTTCCACTTAAAGTGTTTGATTGTGTGTGCTTTGTGAAGGATAACAGGCCATCTGTCGGGAAACTTACCCCTAAAGCTGTGAAGTGCATCTTTGTGGGATATTCTGCTACTCAGAAGGGATATGTTTGCTGAAGCCCAGTGGAGAAAAGGTTGTTTGTGAGCATGGATGTGCACTTTCGAGAACTCGAGCCATATTACACCCGGAAGGTAACTTCATCCGTTGGTAACTCGCCCAATACTAGAAGTATGAGGCGAGAAGAGGAGAATGGTGAGAGATCGATGAACAATGTGAAGAAATCTATTTCTGTATCGAGTCCTTGGGAGGGGGAATTGGTTGAGGAGGAGCAGGAGAATGAAGAAGAAAAGAAAAATGAGACAAGAGGTGTTAGGCCCACGGTTCAGGAGGAGCTATTAACCTATAGTAGGAAGGGAAAGCAAATTGCAGGAACAGTACCTATAGTGCCACTAGTGCTGTCAAGTCTCTTGCCAACGCCTGCCCCGACTCCTGAGACACCTACACCACCATCAGTTTTATCCCAAGGTGATAACATTCCTCTCCCTACTGATAACATTCCTCTCCCTACTTCTCCCACACCAATATCAGTACGGAGGACTACTCGTAGTAATGCGGAAAATCCTCCCGATAGATATGGTTAGGATCTTACCCAATTTGTATCATATTCTAACATCCACCCTGCACATGGGCCATTCATTGCATCATTGGACTTTGTTACTGTACCTAACAATTGACAGGTTGCTAAGAAGAACCCAAAGTGGAAAACGGCTATGCACGAGGAGCTAGGGGCTCTTGAGAAGAACCGCACTTGGGAGCTAGTAAAACTACCAGAAGGAAAGAGAGTAGTTGGATGTAAGTAGATCTTTACTGTGAAGCAGAATCCAGATGGACAAGTTGAACGCTACAAGGCTCGTCTGGTGGCAAAAGAGTATAGTCAGACATATGGCATCGATTATGATGAGACTTATGCACCGGTGGTAAAGATGAGCACTGTTCGGACCTTAATCTCTCTGGCAGTAAATGGTGGATGAAAGCTACACCAACTAGATATGAAGAATGCATTTCTTCATGAAGATCTAGTGGAGGAGGTATACATGGAGATACCACCAGGATTCGGTACAGATCAGACAGTGGAAAATGTTTGCAGATTGAAGAAGTCTCTCTATGGACTGAAGCAGTCTCCTCGTGCTTGGTTTGACAGATTCAGGAGGGCTATGATTGGTATGGGATACCAACAGATCAACGATGATCATACCGTGTTCTTTCGACGAAGTGGAGGCCACATTACCGTGCTGACGGTATATGTGGATGATATGATTATTACAGGAGATGATGAGAAGGAGATTGCCCAACTCAAAGTGAGACTGGGTAAGGAATTCGAGGTAAAAGATATTGGTTTGCTTCGATATTTTCTTGGGATAGAGATAACTCGAGGAGCTGAGGGGATTGTTCTCTCCCAAAGAAAGTATGCACTGGATCTTCTCAAAGAGACAGGGATGTTAGGGTGTAAACCTGTAACTACACCGATCGATCAGAAGTTCAAGCTGGGTGTTGAGGCTGGAGAGCCAGTTGATCGCGACAGATACCAGAGACTGGTGAGCAGGTTAATCTATTTGAGTCACACACGTCCCGATATCTCTTTTACAGTAAGCGTGGTAAGTCGCTACATGCATGATCCGAGGAATGATCATATGGACGCAGTGTACCAGATTCTTAGGTATTTAAAGAGTGCCCCCGGAAAAGGGCTGATATTCAGGAAGAATGAACATATAAGCATTGAGGGTTATTGTGACTCGGATTGGGCTAGCTGTACTGATGACAGGAGGTTCACCTCAGGATACTGTATCTTTATAGGAGGCAACTTGGTCTCGTGGAAGAGCAAGAAGCAGTCAGTGGTGGCGAGATCAACAGCTGAAGCAGAGTATAGAGCTATGGTCTTGAGAATCGCGGAATTGTTGTGGTTAAAGAGTATGCTGATGGAGCTGAAATTGGATCAAGGAGCAAAGATGAAGCTGTGGTGTGATAACAAGTCAGCCATCAGTATCGATAATAACCCAGTGCAGCATGATAGAACCAAACACATCGAGATCGATAGGTTCTTCATCAAAGAGAAGTTGGACAGTGGATTACTGGAGTTAAATCATGTTTTAACTAAAGACCAGGCAGCAGATTGTCTGACTAAGGGACTTAACTCAGTAGATATGATTAGAGGATGTGACAAGATGAGCTTAGTGGATATCTTTCGCCCATCTTGAGGAGGAGTGTTGACATATTAGGATAGTTGAGGGGGTTATTTGTAAGATGTGTTAGTAGGGGGCCTATATAAGCCCATGTTATCTCATTAATAAGATTAGGGTTTCTATTCACAATTTATAGTGTTCCTGAAACCAAAGGCAATTGTTTTAATGAAATAGTATAGATTGTGCAGGTAATAAAGTATTAAATTACCAAGATGAAACAATTCATTAGACCACATGCTAATTCAATGCATGGACATGAATCATGACAATCAAGCTACTTCCTATGTAATTCGTGAAAACACAACCATACTGGAGTTCTGGCAAGTATCAAAAGGGATAAACAACTAAGACCTTATTGTAGACAAGAACTAAGAGATAGTGTGATGTGAATACTTCATATTTGGTGCCCGGATAATTTAAATTATGAACATTAAACCAATGTATATTACTTTTTGGGTTTTATCCTAGAAACCACCTTTAAAATAGGGTCATTCTCCTTTGGTTGTTCATTTATACATAAACCACTTTTAAACGGTATTTTGTTTCAATCAACCACCTGGACTCACTTTTAAACCAAGTTTTTCAGTTTTGGTATAATAATTAGTGTCAAGTACCAAGTATATTAGAGAGATGATCCTTATCTGTAAAAAAAAAATTAACTGAAAAGTGGGTCCAAGTCATTGATTAAAACAAAAGTTCCTTTAAAGGTGATTTATGTATAAATTTGAAGATCAAATGTGGTTTCTATAGAATGACCCTATTCTTATAGGTGGTTTCTATAAGATTACAAGGTGGAATTCACCTATTTTGAAATGATGCTCTCATAATATCCAACATTGTCTTTCAAACTCTCCCATGCAGAAGTCCTTCGAGAGTGGAAAAGGCAAGAATCCTATTATGAGGAAAGAATACAAGACTACAAGGGCTCGAATTTCAGGTTGCATAGGTCGGTAAATGAGGCAATAATCCTACAAACAACAGCTCATCTAATGTATTACCACTCGGGGAAGTAGACTTGAAGCAATAGTTTCAACAGAAGGTCAATAAGACTTTAGAATTGTTGATCACGAACCAGGAATGAAGCAAAGACCTAGCATGAATTCAGAGCTAGAGACAAAGCAAGGAGATATATTATGACATAGTTTATGTGGATATATTGAGCACGAGGTAAAGGGTTGTTTTGCTTCCTAAATTAAAGGATTCAAGGCTTCAAGCACTGATCTAAAACTACTAAACTTGTTGAAACCTCTAGATACCGACTCCAATAAAGGTGAACTGACATTAAGACAAATACTAAGATTTCAAAACTTTATATCAATTTTTTGCAGCCTTTGACAAGTGACTATGACCCTTGTCGATGAACACTAAATTAACTTCACAGGCTGTCACAGAGAATCTCGGAATCTTCCTCTCAGCTCCTACAATCAAATATCTAAAGGGCCTAACTAGTCTTACTCCCCAGCTGCAATAACAGATTAATAGCCCTCCACCCGTAAGCATGGACTTTTTAGATCTTGGGCCATAAGTTATCCCAATTTAACATATCCAGACATGTGCAACCATTAACCAGTTAAATAATACCTGCATTAATTTGAACGTCTGCAGCTAATAAGCTTACCGAGAAATGTGGTGACATACATTACATGATTAAAAGATACTATACATTTTAGCTGAAAGAGAGTTTGCAACAACACGTGTCAGCATCTTCTAATGAAGCCATAATGTAAATTAACAAGGTAATGGGAATAATTATGAAAATATAGTGCAGAAGAATGAGTAGAAGGCTCAGTAGCAACCTCATTTAAAGTGCATTCTCCCATGTGCCTAAGAGAGTATGGTAGATCGACTTTTTCTCCTGCTGGCATCGAGACCAAGACATGCCAACTGCATGACGAAAATAAAATTTTCATAAGCACTGGATCTATGTTTGATATGCTTGAACAGAGGCTCAAAAGAAATCAGCACAAAATAGTAGTCCAACGCAGTTAAAAATGAACTGCTTAATCTGCAGATTGAGGAAAGAGACATATCACATTGCTTATAAAATGTTCGTCATCACCAAGGATAGTGATCCTTGGATTACAATTTAATATACTATTAGAGCGATTACAAGAAACTAAGAAAGCATAAAGTATGAGGTTGTCAAAGAAGTTAGAAAGGAGGTTATAGAAGATATATAGGATCAAGTTGTTAGAATCATTTGTTTCTAAGTATCTAGGAGATCTTGTTACTTGTGAGAAAAAGTAGTCTAGATACATTGAATCTGGAATGCATTGTGCTTATAAATAGCCTATTTGGTCTTCTCTTATTCATATTAATAAATCCTCCTCTTTGATTTCCACATGGTATTAGCGACTCCTATCAAATTCTTCTTCTCTATAACCTAACCCATCACTACGACCACCACCACCTTTTACTCCAGCTACTCCCACCTCCACCACCACCTCTTTGCCTTGCCACTGCCACCACACCATCTTCTCTCCTTTGCCAAAGACCCACGTAAAACCCCACAAACCCCTGTCACCCTTGCCATCACCACTGCCACAGCTCCCAGATGCTCCAAACAGTCCTCAAAAACTTCTCACCAGCAGCCCTGCAGTCCCTTCAGCCCTCAGCCCGCCTCTGACCTGCAGTCCCATCAGCCAGCCCCTAGCAGCCCTCAACTCCGCCCCACAGCCCTTCCTCTGCCATGCAGCCCCACGTATGACCTGAATCCAGCCCTCTCCAGCACTCTAGCAGCTCAAACCACATCAAACAGATCCCAACAAATCTCAAGAAACCTAAAACAGATCTCAAACTGACCTTAAATGGCCATAATACAATCTCAACACACTTCAAACACATCCAAAATACAACTCAACCCACTACATCCATCTTTGCTTCCAGATTTTCATTCATATCGACATGAGCACTACATTTGCCTTCGATCCCATTGACGACACAGATTGTCTCTCATGGGCATCATAATGATTTGCTAGATGTGGTAATTCTATCTCAACATCACGGATCTTATTTAGGTCTGCTCTTAAGTATTTTTATCGCTGGAGATCATCGCCTTTTTTTGTTCTTGTTTCCATGGAGACTTCTTCCTCTACTTCCACAACTTCTTACTCCTCTTCTACATCGACTGTGGCACCATCAAGTGCGACTTCCTCCTCTCGGGTTATGTTATTGATGAATAATATCAAGCCTACCAACAGCTACTATCTAAACCCTGTAGTAACTCAATTCAATTAGGTAATGCTTGTCATGTTTCACCTCATCAGTGATTAGTGGGTCATTGATTCAGGTGCTTCTGAACATATGTCTCATTTATCTCTTTCATCATTTTCTCCACTTGATAACTTTCATGTGCGTGTTGCTGATGGTTCACCTGTCCCTATTGAAGGGATAGGAAATATTACTCTCACGCCTGATCTTTCTCTCAAATCTGTAATACGGGTTAAACTACTTTTCCTAATAGTCTATTATCTATTCATGAAGTTTGTAAAGACTTAAATTATTCAGTGACATTCTTCCCTTCTCATTGTGTTTTTCAGGATACTGCGACAAGGAAAGTGATTGGAGCCGGCCGTGAACAACATGGCTTATATCTTTTGGATAGTCCATACTCGGCTTCTGCCCTTAGTTCTCGTACAGATCTTATATTGTGGCATTGACACATGGGACATCCTTGCGTGTGAGTCTACTTTTAAGTTCTCGTGTGAGTCGTGAGTTAAGTAAACATCATAGAACTTCCTTCCCCGAACGTGTCAATAAACGTAGTGAAGCTTTCTTCAATTTAATCCACTATTATGTCCGGGGGGCAGTAAGCTTTCCTTCTTTTAACAAATATTGCCACTTTGTTATATTTATTGATGATTTTATTGGATGACATGGATTTTTCTATTAAAAGATCATTCTGAATTGTTCAAAGTATGCACTGTGTTTTTTAATGAAATAAAAACTCAATTTGGTATTACTCTTAAACAATTGACAATGCTAAAGAATATATTTGTGAGTTTTAAAACTTTTTCTCCACATGGGATTATTTACCAGACTTCATGTGCTTACACTCCACAACAAAATAGAGTGGCAGAGTGCAAAAATCAACACCGGCTAAACACAGACAAATCTTTAATGTTTGAAATGAAAGTTCTAAAATTTTATTCGAGTTTTGATGTGCTCGCTGCTTGTTTTTTGATCAATCATATGCCAAGTCCTATACTTGACCATGCCTCCCCCTTTAGCCTTGTCTTTCCGCATCAAGAGGCATTTCCTATTCCACTACGTGTCTTTGGTTGTACATGCTTTGTTCAGGCTCTCGGATCCGGCAATGATAAATTAGATCCTAAGGACATCAAGTGTGTGTTTCTCGATTATTCAAGATTATCAAAAGGATACTTTTGCTATTCTCCCAATAGTACGAAAATGTTTACTTCAGTTGACGTGTCATTTGTTTGAAAATGAACCTTTTTTGAGTCAAAATTTCCTTATGATCAGACTTCCTTAGATTTATCGAGGGTCATTGCTGAGAGCTTAGATTTTCCACCAAAGAAACCACTGCAGGTTTATGTACGAAAACGAAAAGGTAACATCGACAGGACAATCAACGATATTTGTTCTACAGTTCTTTCAGACACATCACTTCCCTTGATTGGTAATATCTCTAACACAACTGATATTCTAATTGCTCTTCGTAAACCAAAACGCACTTGCACTCATCATCCTATTACAAAGTTTGTTTCCTCTCATAAACTGAAGGGATCCTTTCGCACTTTTACCTCCTCTTTGGATTCTATTTCTATACCTCAACATGTTCAATAAGCTTTCAAGCATCTTGGTTGGAAAGCAGCTGTGGAAGATGACATGCAAGCTCTAAAGCAAAATCATACCTGATAGTTAGTTAGTCTCCCACCGGGTAGTAAAATGGTTAGTTGTCATTGGGTATTCACTGTGAAGTACAATCCAGATCATACGATCAAGCATCTCAAAGCTCGCTTGGTAGTCAGCAGTATGGAGTTGATTATACCGAGATTTTTCACATGTCGCTAAGCTCACCTCAGTACGAGTACTCATCTCTATTGCACCCAGTCGATCATAGCCACTTCATTGACTGGATGTCAAGAATGCATTTCTTAACGGAAATCTGAGCAAATAGTATATATGCAGCAACTACCTGGTTTTGAGCAACAGGGGGAGAATCTGGCGTGTTCGCTCAAAAAGTCACTTTACGGGCTTAAGCAATCTCCTCGAGCCTGGTCTGAAAAGTTTGGAAAAGCTATCTGCTCTTATGACTTTTCTAAAAATAAGGCAAATCATTATATTTTCACCAAAAAGAGGAGCAGGGGCATTATGATTCTATTAGTATATATAGATGACATTATTATTACTGGCAATGACTCATAGGGTATTGCAGACATCAAGCGACAGCTATCACATGTTTTTCCTACAAAGAATCTTGGTCCACTTCGTTACTTTCTCAGTATTGAGTTGCCCGCACTAAGGATGATATCTTCCTTTCACACAGGAAATATGTCCTTGATATTCTTACTGAGACGAGAATGCTAAGATGTCGACCCAGTGACACGCCTACAGACCCTAATGTTAGGCTATCTACTTTCACAATTGATCCTCCATTTTTTTGATCCAGAGCAGTATCGGAGACTTGTTGGGAAACTAATATACTTGCCAATAACCAGATCGGACATTGCATATGCAGTCAACAAGGTCAGCCAATTCATGCATGCTCCTACCATCATTCATTAGGAAGCAGTTATCCGCATTCTACAATATCTCAAGAAAGCACTAGATCAAGGCCTTCTCTTCAAACCTGGCAATTTTTGAGCCTACAAGGATATTCAGATGCTAATTGGACAGGATCTGCTGATGATAGGAGATCCACTAGTGGATATTTTGTATTCTGTAGAGGAAATTTGATATCTTGGAAGAGCAAGAAACAATCAGTTGTTGCTCGTTCCAGTGCAGAGGTCAAGTACAGAGCTATTAGACACCTTGTTTCTGAGATCATATGGTTGTGGTCTCTTCTAAGAGATTTAGGCAATCATTTACCAACTCTCATTCCTCTCCATTGTGATAATCAGGTTGCCATATACATTACTGAGAATCCAATGTTCCACAAACGTACCAAACATATTGAAGTTGACTGTCATTTTGTCTGTGATGAATGGATGAAGAAGGTAATTTCTTTCTCTTATGTTCGGTTCGAAGCAATGAGTAACTTGCTGATATCCTCACAAGAGCATTGCCTCCAAAACTTTTTCACACATTTATGGGCAAGCTCGGCTTCTATAACATCTACGCTCCAGCTTGAAGAGGAGTGTCAAAGAAGTTAGAAAGGAGGTTATAGAAGATCTATAAGATCAAGTTGTTAGAATCATTTGTTTCCAAGTATCTAGGAGATCTTGTTAGTTGTGAGAAAAAGTAGTCTAGATACATTGAATCCGGAATGCATTGTACTTATAAATAGCCTCTTTGGGCTTCTCCTATCCATATCAATAAATCATCTTCTCTGATTTCCACAGAGATATTGAAACAGTTGCAACTACATCTATCGCTTAGTGGATGATGATGATAGTATGAACAAAAGCAGGTGTTAAGCAACAAGTATCTAAATATATTACGATAAATATCAGTCCTCAAACTAGTAAATACCACGTATCAACTACTTAGATAGTAGTATCATAAAAGACAAAGACAGGAGTTAGGGTGGTGACATAAAACAATGTACAAAGTAATAGTTGCTTCACACTTCATACTCCCAAATCTGACTGCCAATTAGTCAGAATGCTAAATTTATGGAATTGTAACGGTTATAAAGATAAGAATGAACTTGATAGGGATGGGTCAAACTTCAAACTAGAAGCAAGAAAATTAAGGAAAATGTCCACTATATGCAAGAAAATTAAGTCAAAAACTAACCAAGAGAGAACCATTTTAGACTTTAGTACTTAGATCCCAATGCAGATTTCAAACAAGCATTAGCAATCACAACTTACAATTTGTAACTAATAGACACCAACAAGTCCATACAATACCATTTTCAAACTGGATTTGGTTTATAACTCAGTCACAAATCAAACATCTAGAAATAGAAAATTCTCAAACCATGATTATCAAAAAGGACCATTTAGAGAAAAGTTTGGCATGGTGCGGGTTATTTTCCACAAATGATAAAGTCGCGATTGCCAATTTTAATTTAAAACTTTGTGATGAGATCTGAAATAATAACTAAGGTAGTTTCCCCTTCAGTTAACTTTGTCATCATTTGCTGATTTCTTTGGATACAAAGGTCTATGACCCACCACTAACAAAGGAGAAAAACCTTTTCCCTGCATCTAAATTTTGACAATTTTCTATGTCTTACACCAAATGTATATCACTAAGTGCCAGTGGTATCCTTTTCATTTATCAACCAAATCACGGGTAGTAGAACTTGTTACCCTGCATATGGAAACAGTTCTTCCTTAGTAGTACCACAATAAGACAGCCAAAGGTGGACAGTATGTCTAGACCAAAAAAAGGGACTTGTCAGCATTCCGCAACAATGCCAAAGTGAAATAAAATGCATAATCATGTCAGGGATCCAAAATGTAACTTGTATTGTCAGCGTCACTGGAGGTGGATTCCACAAAAGAAAAGTGGTTGAATGGAAAGTTGCTGCAAGGTACAGACAGAGATTTGCTTCTTGTTTATTGAAAAAAGAAGCATAGCTAAAACTGGGAATTCAATCGAAGTTGAATGTATTCAAGCTCTTCCTGTTTTTCACTTTTTGATAAAATGAGTAATTGTATGCATTGTTGATAGCCAGTAGCAAATTTTTAAGACGCAGTTGGCGTAAAGAATAATAATCTGCTCTAGCACAAAAGGAATTCACTGTGCACTTTGATAAGTCTTACCTGTCAAGACGGCAAATAGGACCACTACTTGCCTTTTGGAGAATTCGTTTCACAGCAGATCGCCATGCAAAAGGAAATGAACCACCCTACACAAGAGGAAATTGCTAGCCACTATCAACTTTGCAACTGCAGCAATCAAACCGAGGCAACTGCAAAGCTCCTTACCCAACCAAAACTCCTCGAAAGATCGTTGCCCGTGCCAAGTGGAATAATAGCAACTGGAGGAACTGGCTCTCTGCGCTCAAAAAGTTCTCCAAGACTCCCTAATACCCAACCTACAGTCCCATCACCACCGGCAACCTGCAAGGTAGAACCAAAAAGTTCTTTGAAAGTTAATTACAGCACACGCCAACAATTAAGGGCACAAGCATACTCAGAATTTCATAATATGAAAACGTCCACATAGATGATGAAAATGCATCATCTCTTAGCAACAGATAAAGAGAACACGATAAATTAGACTTCTATGCTGACATACCACAACCCTCAGCTTCTGACGAACGCTCTTTGCACAATCATCGCCAAGATCGGCCAACTGCTCCAAAACACCTAAGCCAAACTGAACAAACTGAGGAGGCTTCACACGTGAGAGATCAAAAACCTGCACCATTTATAAAATTTTTGTAGCTTCAGTACCAAACCACAAAAAATATACATTTTTCTGCATTGCTTCATTTGCTTGGACTCAGCTTGACTATTCTTGGTGCATAAAAAGAAGGCTCAAACTATTTAAATACACTGTTGATGATCCTAGTCCTTGAATGCCCTAGCTTCAAAAGAGCAAACCGAAGCTCACAGAGCTAAACACTTACAAACTTATAAGAGAGATCTAGCAATCTAGAGACAGAGAGAATCAAAATTACTAATCTTTATATACAAAATTTGCCACTTTCCTAATTCTTATATTCTCAAACACATCCAGACTCCAAAATCTACTGAAACCAAGTCCAAGAATCTCACAAAATAGAGTAACCACGAAATTCAATACCTGCTCCTCTCCCATGAGTTCCTGTAGCCTCTCCAGCAGAGCTTTCCCGTGCCTCCCTCCACTCTTCGAGTTCACGAACACTACGATCGGAGCCTCCGGCGACTCCTGGCCGAGCTCCTCCACGACCCCAGCCTTGCTCGCCGTCGCCGACGTCGTCTGCTCCATCACCGCCTCCTTCATCGCCCTCCTTAAGTACTCCGGTATCGTGATCCGCCGCCTCAGCTCCTCCTTGTCGATCTTAGCTCCGGCGATCACTCCGCACGCTCGCACCGAGTCCAAGATCGATGATCTCGCCGCCACCGTCCTCGCCGTCGATCCTTCCGTCGCCGGAGATGACTCCATCGATTTCAACGCTGTCGGTTTCTCGAAATGAATGGGAGTTTTAAGTCCAGCGAGGGGATTGGGGGGTTATTCTATTCTTTGCCTTTTCTTGTAGCTCGTGTACTGGTGATGCTTTTATTTATTGGGGGGATTTTTTTTAATTATTTATTTTGAAATTTGAAGTTTGGGAGGCAGGCGGCTGGCTGATTGAATATTGACTAGGAATTTGGATACAAAATACACAAAGCAGGGAAATAACGAGAGTGACACGGAACACGCAAAGTAGGCTGAGATCTAGAGTTGGAGGGATGTTCTTTTCCATTTTCACTGGCAGTGAGGCGAAAACAGCAAACAGCTTATGCGTAGGTGAAATAGGGGATGTGAAATTATTTATCCTTATCCATTACAATTTAAAGTAATGCTTTTAATATAAGGATTAACTAATTTTATTTTAGCGGTGGCGAAGGATTACGAATTTATTAGGAAATTGTGGTAATATGTTTACATATCTTATTAATATATATTAATTTTAACCCGCCCAAGAGACAAATTTACTAACCTCCTTTTAATTTTAAAAAATATTTCATGATCAATATTACCCTTCACCTTTTTGTCTATTACATTGTTATTCTAATCTATTTAACTTTCAAAATCTAAATTATTTATTAGTTATATGCTTGTCTTGGATAATATTCTAATCTATCTAACATGAACCTCATATTCTTCTCTAAAATTCCTAATTATTTTGATTTTATTGAATTTTCATTGGCTGAGAACTAGATAGAGACAAGATTATCAATCTATTCGTTAAGGACTCACAAATGTCCATACCATATTGTGATCCTTGTTTTGAACGAAATCACAGAACTGTGACATTTTTAGGCTATACTAAATCCAACCGAGAATCAAAGAAAGAATCGGGTAATTAGAATGTAATATTTAATTAGAATTTGAATTGCATTTTTTATCTAAATTGTTATGACAAATTCCTAAGGATAAACTAATATCAATCACACGAGAGCACGAAAAATATCAAGAACACACGAACACAAAGATATATGTGGTTCGGCTTGTAACCTATGTCCATGGACGAAGGAGGAGAAAAGATTTACTAATTGTGAGGAATACAAAGTGGAATCTCTCAATCTCAAATAACACCCCAAAAGCCTAATATAACTCTCAACTAAAGAAACAAAAGATAAGAATATCAAATAGACTTCACAAAAGAACTCTCTCTTCTTGATTGGTGTTCTGAAGATTGTTGAATCTAATTGACTTGAAAGACTGTTCTTATATAGCCTTGAAGATCTCAGCTCATTACTGTCTAAGGAATAAGAGTTGTAATAGGAATAGAAGTCCACGTGTCCTAAAACCCAACAAGAGTCCAAATAGGAATAAACTTCTAATATGATTGGTTGTGCAAAGTCTAATGTAATCAGGATTCTTGATCAAAACAAACCAAGCTAAAAAGGAACTCTCAAAGCAATATGGATTTGAGTATTTGAGGCAACCTATAACAAATCCCCACATTGACTCAAATACGTAGAAGATTCCTCACTCCAAAATAAGCTAACTTACTCCACCTTCTCCAATAGCCCCACAGGGCATCTAAGTGTGGCACGTATCAATCAAGTCCAAGACCGGCTTGAACTTGCTAACTAAAAGAGGCCTCCTCAACAAATCGACTAAATTGTCCGCACAATGACCGTAAATATTAGCGAAGTCATAACCTGAAGTAACTCCTGAATAGTTGAAGGGCACAAAATTGTCAACAGCCATTGCATAATGTAAAACCCTAAAATTTTGAATATTATGTGAAAACAAATATGCTATATAGTAAAAAAAATAACATATTTTGATGTTTGAGTATGATAGAAATTGATTTGAGATCAATTCAATATATATTTGTGAATATATGAGTGCAAATGCACAAAACATGCATGAAGAGAAATCTGAAAAAATGATCAGTTAAGAGTTTATATGTTTTACACACCGATTCAGTTTAAATCTAGAAAAATTCAGTTTGAATCATGAAAACCGAGTCAGACTAGGTTTCCTGATTTGGGTCAAACGGGGTTGCATATATATATACATGTGTTTTCATGAAAATTATTATCTTTACATCAGAGTTTCAAACCCTAGTAGCCCATCTTCCTCTTTCTCAAACCCTAGCCCTAAAGTGAATTTTTGGGAGAGTTTGTGAGGAGAACGTCGAGGAAAAGTCGGGATTTTTGATGTTTGGCGACGGGGTAAATCACTTGTTGTTCTTTCTAGAGGCTTGTACACGTGTAAAGGCAAGATCATCTATGTCCAAACCTTTTCCTTGAATAAATCTAATGTTTTTAAGAGAATTATATGTTTAACTTTATGTTTAGGGTTTAAATCTAATGTTAAACATGTTACATGTGATATTTATGATTAAATCTTATGTCAAGAACAGTAGAACGAATCTAAAACTGAGGTATTGACATGATCATGATATTTATGATTAAATCTTATGTCAAGAACAGTAGAACGAATCTAAAACTGAGGTATTGACATGATCATGATCATTAGGGTTTATTTTAATGAGTTAATTAGTAGAACGAATCTAAAACTGAGGTATTGACATGATCATGATCATTAGGGTTTATTTTAATGAGTTAATTGCAGTTTAATATGATTTATAAGATTTAGAGTGTCAAAATAACTAAGAATTAGGTTGTTTTGCATGTTAAACCCAAGATCTATGTGTTCATGTGATTCATCTTGTTTAAACAAACTTCTGGTTAAGTATACATGATAATGGAATCAAGTTTTATTTCTATAATCTGATAAAAACCTGAGTTTTTGAAGAAAATACGAGAGAAGAACAAACTGTGCATTTTCGACCTGTTCAGTCGACTGAAGTTGCCATCAGTCGACTGACGGGCTTGTGTTTGCCCTGTTGTTTTGTGAACGACCCTATCAGTTGACCGATGAGGTTGTCGGTTGACTGATCAGGTCAGCTTTTATGAGATTAAACATTTTGCTTGTGTGTTCGTTTGGTGAGCATTTTTGTGCAAGACGTGAGCTGATATTCACACATAGTTTGAAAAGTATACGTACGGGGATTGAGTACGCATGATTATATTGTTTGGGATATCCAAATAGGTTACAATCGTTAAGAGTAATGGCTATTATTATATATATTATAATTATGATGGGTTGGGTGAGGTTAGTCAGGTCCCGTAATGAGACCGCGGATGGACTATACTCCGAGTGCTTTAGTCGGGTCTTGCAATGAGACCGTAGATAGACTATACTTCTTTATCGGTCCGCATGGAGATACACAGAGGTTAAAATACCTATCTATCGGTCCACATGAAGATGCGTAGAGGTTTAAATACCTATCTACCGGTCCGCACAGATGTTAAAATATCTATTTATCGGTTCATACAAAGATGCACAGAGGTTGAAATACTTATCTATCGGTCCGCACGAAGATGCGCAGAGGTTGATATACCTAACTATCGGTCTGCATGGTTATGTGATTAGTTATTATACTTACTTACCGGTCCGTACGGGAGTGTGATGAATTGACATAACTAGCTATTGGTCCGCACGGGAGTGCAATGAACTAACATATTTATTTACCGGTCCGCATGGGGTGCGATGAGTTAAAGTATTCCAGAGAATGACTATTCGATAAATAACCTAAGTGTAGGTGAATATTGACATCATCGATATGATCCATTGTGAAAGTATTTCACAACTTAGATACACGAGTGTGTCAATATCTGTTTTACCCACTAATGATAGTATGAGGAGTTGATATGATATTTTTGGAGATGTATGTTGTGGTATTTCATATATTATCTTTCTTGTATTCATTTATTCTTAGTTTTGGAGTTAATATTTAGCGATTCACAATTTAAGACATATGGTATATACATGAGGGTTTCCTTGTTTTGATTATTTCGCTCAACGTAGCTGTCTCGTGTTGTGAGTTTCTAAGTATTAACCCCAGTTTAGTATAGGGTAAATGAACTAGGTAGACTATGTACTTATAAGTAGAGCCTCCATCATACCTAGTAGCTCTTCCCCTGGAGGTGGATGGAGATGATCTTGCTAGCACTCTGACGTTGTGGTTTTCACTTCTTTTCAAGCTGCTAAGCAGAGTTTCAGAGAGCCGCAGGTTGACGGATTTTCAGCATAGTCACCATCATATATATTTAGTAGTTCTGCTCCAAGATATTCAGTTTATATTTCTAGTTGATGTTTAGATTTATATTATATTTTGAGAGCTGAGAGAGTTTATGTACTCTTTAGTTGACTCTTGTAGTTGGGATTTTGGATCATTTATTTTAGATTGTTGGACATATTTTCTTTTATATCTGTTGAGACCTGATTATTTGGAGATTCATTAAATATTTTTATGTTCTATTTCTTATCTTCATCTCTTTTATATCTGCTTGAACCTATACTATCTTATTTGTTTCCACTAGAGGGATATTTCTGTGATGGTAAAATATGTCATTGCACAGTATAGGTGCATGGAATGTTTAACATTCTTGGTTTTACCTTGAACTGCAGTTTTGTGTGAACCCGGGGGCATCACACATAAACTATCATATCTTCATATCTTCGTGGTGGTTGGATATCTCGTCTAGACCGATCTCAAGCAATAGTGTATTCCCGCTCTTCCTGCAGCTGCTGAGGTGCTTCATCTACTTGAATGGGATCTGGCTACTGAACTCCCGTAGTCTTATCCTGCTCAAGAGTTGAATCACTAATTTCTAACTCCACCTTATGTCCTGTAGTGTGTACCTTATCAACAACTAAAACCAATGATCATTTCTGGTGGAACACAACAGATTTATCAAAAGTAACATCATAGCTAATAATAATCTTAGGAGACTTCGGATCAGGACGCCACAACCTAAAATCCTTAACACTCATTGCATAACCTAGGAATATGCACTTCTTCGCTCGCGGCTTAATTTTCCCTTGACTAACATGCACATATGCAGGGCAACCAAATATTATAAGATTAGAATAATCCACGGGTATACCAGACCAAACCTCCTCTGGAGTTTTACAACTAATTGCAGTAGATGGCGATCGATTCACTAAGTAACAAGTCGTACTCACTGCTTTTGCCTAGTATTCCTTACCTAAACCTGCATTGAACATCATACAACGAGCTTTCTCTAATAGGGTTTTATTCATACGTTCT